ATTTAGTCTTAGAAATGAAAGGTGCCAGCAAGTCGTTTTTCTGTGCTCAAATCATAGGATCAAGTGCCTAAATTAATGTAATTTCCTATTATAAATTGAAGTCATCTTCCTACCGAGTTTAGTCAGTCGGTTACACCTCCTGCAGCAGCACCAGTCACTGATCTGTTACAGTCAGGGACATCGACAAACTGTATTGTGAGTATGCCTATGGAGCAGGATCACGGGGCCATGCATATGGAATTTGTGGACAATGTGAGCATGCCTATGGACCAAGAGTATATAATGCGTAGGCAGCCAGATAGGCGTGCGCGTCATCGACGATTCCCATGCTGTAACATCGGATCACAGGGTTCGTGCCCTATACATGATCATAGTGATGAGACTTTATGATCAAAGGTACTTCCAATGATGAACTGATATGCCTTGTAACAAAGTATATAACTTTTGTCTTCAAATAAAAAATGATTTGGACTCTTGTATCTGCTTTAATATGGTTTTATTTTTTCCTTTCGACATGGTTTGCATCTCTTTCAAGCAGGTAAATGATTAAGGGTTATTTGACAAGCCTATCGCCCTTAACACAGGTACCATACTCAATTCAAATGACTGTATCTCCTTACTTGATTGGAGCTGTGTTGTTTTTGACATTATATGATGTTCATGTAAACTCCAGTATGGCTGGCTATAGTAAAATTTTTGGTGTAAACCCGTTGATCATATTTTTCACAACCTAGAATAGTATCATGGACGGTTATAACTTTGCAAATCATATCATGTTGTGAGGTGATATATTTATTCTCAGGAAGGGAATCAAATATGAACCGATAGTGTGCTGGTGGTATGTGTAATTTGGATAAAGTTATGGGATCTAGAACTGTAAGAGTATTTACTTATGTAGAATAGAATAAACTATTTGTAGTTTCCCTTCTGAAAGAAGTATATATGAAGTATTGCTCCTTAATAGAAAATGTCATGAAGAATATCATAAAAAATGAGAGTCAACTGATGAGTTGTGTTTTGCAGGGGTCCAAAGGGTCCAAAGCATGTACAAATAAAGAAAAGTAAAAAAAAAAGGTCCAAAGCAAAAAAGTTGCGTGTTTAGGGAAAAAATGTTATTTTTGAAGGGGTAAACTTAAAAAGTCCCTTAACTCTTTTGGGATAATTTTCATGCTTTGTCTTAAAAATAAAGACAAATGCTCAAATTCCGATTGCAGATGACATATTAGTAGTGGTATTTGATTGACTTTTGGTCTAACTAATAATCAAATAAAATAGTTTGATTTCTGTTGATGTTAATTCTATTCAGTATTTATGGGATCTTTGAACTGATATGACATAACATGTAGAGGTTTTTTGGCATTGAAAATGCTACTGGGGTTGGAAATCTTATTAATAACACTGCTTAAAATGATCTTAATTATAGTATCCTTAAATTGGAGAAAATAGAAGTATGGTTACTTTCATGTACCGAATAATTTATTTGCAGAAAAGGATAGTAATGTTTTTTCAACTTTGTTAGGATAACTACTTATAGTTTGTGATTTCTTCTTGGTACTATGATTTCTTAACAACTTCCCTACCATGCTTCCCCTCTCCCAACCAAATATTTATTCTATCTTATCAATTGTTTCTTCTCCCTAAACATTAATATTTTTGCTATTGACACTCATAATCTGTATCATAGGTCAAAATATTTGAGGAATTGGATTGCCTAATTTTGCACAAGAATTTCTGCTAGCAAGTATTTGCAACTTGCACTCAAGTTGGTACAAGTAATGGTCCACAGTTCTTGGCAGATGGAATCCCTTCTTGAGTTGACTACGAGTATTTGCACCCAATGTTTAATTTATGTGTTGGGTATGTGGTAACCGAGAATTTCTATTTTATGATTTGTGTTAAGTCACAACAACTAACTAATTGTGCAGACTGGTGATTAGTATATACAAAATGTAAATATTTTTTTCTTGCTTCCTTTTATCTATATTGCAAAGTGGTGAGCTACCAACTCATTTCATTCATTTCTGATTCAATTCACAAGTGGATTAACCAGGAACTGGGTAATATGAAGTCAGAATCGAGTTGTCTGTGATCCTGCGAAAGATAAGGGTTCACACAAGTGTGTTTGCCTCCCCATCTAGTAACAATCCACCGATCTCGCCATCTCGGTAACATTGCTCGAACCCTCCAAGGACATCCTTCAGCTTGATTAACACATTTCAAATATCTAAATATAATTAATTACACATGAACATAAAAATATATTTTATTATGTAAAATCCTTATTAATTTTACACATGAACATAAAAATACATGCCTATGTTAGGATTTCACACAAGAATAATTTTAAAATTAATACAACTATTACTAATTAAAACAAACCCTAAATATTAATAACAAAAAACCTGAATTCTAAAATATATTATTAAAATACTAAACACAAAAATCATCAATGACTAATTATTATGTCGAATATCTAAATCTAATTAATTACACATCAACATAAAAATATATTTTATTATGTAAAATCTCTATATATTAATTATAGAACATGAATATGTTAGGATATCACAAAATAATTAACCATAAAATTATAACAACTTCTTACAAAATAAATAAATAAATTATAACAACTATTACTAATTAAAACAAACCCTAAATATTAATAACAATTAATTATTCTAATTTATATTATTAATACTTATTATGCCAAATATGTAAATCTAATTAATTACACGTCAACATAAAAAATAATTATTATTTCAAATCTCTATATATTATTAATTATACATGCCTATGTTATTATTTCAAAATTATAACAACTACTTCTAATTAAAAGAAATCCTAAACATTTACAAATTAATTAAAGTAAATCAGATTACCAAAAATATATATTAAATCATATTACTAAAGTATTAAACACTACTTTCCAATGACTAATTATTATTATGACAACTATATATAAAATAAATTAATTGCAATTGCTTGTGTTAGTAAAAAAACTACTAATGTAAAAATTAGATTATCAAAAAAAAAAACACCATTGTATTCTAAATATTCTGTCAAATATCTAACTAAAATAAGTAAAAAAAGTTAAATAATTTTAATTAATAAAAGTGACGTTGATTCTTACTTGCCTTACGGAACTCCGTTGTAAGAAGAGCTTTCAACACTTTGTTGCAATTGATGTGCTCTTCTGCAAAACATTTCCAAGGAGCTGCAAATGGCAAAAAAGAGAGAGATAGTTTCAGAATGTTTTTAGATCTGGATTTTTACTATAAATGAAAGCGAGACAGGGGTGAAAAATAAGATAAGGTGAGGCTCAGAGAGAAGGGGGATGTGCCACTTGGTCTGTCAGAGTTCCACAAGGGGGAGGGAGTGGCACTCTAAAAATATAAATATAAAAAGCATTTTGCAGTTCCGATAGGGGGGATGGGCGGCATTTAAAAAAAATAAAAATACAATATAGTAGCAGTTCCGTTTGGGGGGACAGGCGGCATTCTTAAAATATTATTTATTGAGTGCCAATCGGGGGTGTTGGCGGCACAACATCCGGGAAAAAAAAATTCATACAAAAGTGCCGCGAGGAAGGGGTCGCGTCATTTATAGTCGCTGGGTAGCCCTCGCGGCACTAAAAGACCCCAAACCGTAATTTCTTTTCACCGAATACCAATTTCGTAATTTTTAATAATACAAACTCCATACCGGTCAAACACCCTGTATATTATTTCCCTTGTTAGTTTCTCAGTATATATTTTTCCTTATTAGTTTATCTTTATCTGTACATGTTTTGTTAAAATACTTTATGAGCTAGGTAGTCTTGTCCCATCTGATAAGTATCACTATTCACACATAATTCACAAACAGCTTAAACTTTGTTAATGATAATTTACAAGTATTTCCAAGCTCAAATATATCTTCTAGACCTTTACTAGGACAAACCTTTTCTCAAGAACAAAAATGTATTCTAGATAATTTATGGATTTCTTATAATAAAGAACCAAGAAATAGAAAACATTTTACTGCTACTACGAATGCATTAGCTTATTATTTTAATCGAAATCAACAAAGATTTTTTTTTTATGTAGTATTTGAAGGTAATTCTCCAGGAGTATTTAATTCTTGGACATATGTAGTAAAGTCAACTAGAAAATTTAAAAATCCAAAGTACAAAGGTTTTCATACATTAGAAGAAGCATTTTCTGCTGCTAAATCATTCATTGGTCCTAATTTTTATATTCATCTATCTTTCAAATATTTCTCATAATCTTTACCATATAATAAAGTCTCAAGTAGTCAATCAAATATCCTTTTATGTGATCATTGTGAAGTCTTAGCCAAAACAGTCAGAAACTGTAACGAAGAAAGAAAGAGACTTCTTAAATACATTTTCTCATTACAACAAGAACTAAGTCATCTTCAACTAAAATCTCAACGTTTCTCAACCTCAAAAACGGGTGAGATAAGTAGTTGCTCCCTTCTGAGCGATCAAGAAGTTAGCATATAAACAAATTCCATGCCTAGTTGAAAAGTCAAATTCGTTGAAGGTTGTGGTTTTGCCAAAAAGCCAAGAAGCAAATTCTACAATAGAGACATTAAAGAGGAAGATAAAAGAACTCCTGAATGAATAAAAAGAAATTAAACAATTGTTTGAATCAGAAAAGATAAAGGAGGAAGAAGATATATCTAGCCCAATTCCCGAATATTTTTTGGACACAATTGGAAGGTATAATACAAATGACAAGGTGTAGAATATAATTTCCTAGCCAGCATAATCTGTCAGAATCTTATCCGCAGACAGCTTTGACAGCAGAATAGTAAAGATTCAAAACTTATCTCGAAGAAATAAAGATGACCACAGAAAGTGTCGGCAACATCTTTAATAGTAAATGTCAGCATGTTTTCTTGTAAATATTATTGTCGGACATGGTAATTTTAAAGTTAGTGTCAGTCTTTTATTTTGTCATTTTGTAAAAGAATCTTTCTTTAATCTAATGTGATGATAGGGCCTAGAATGCCTAATCAACAAAGAAAAGAAATGATTCTTTAATATGGCTTAAGTTCGTGTTTCGAGTCTATAGACTTTAATTCAAGTCTATAAATAGATGTTGTAACCATTTGTAAAATCATCAAGTGATGTATGCGTGAGAATCTTGTGTCTAAAATATATGCAATAGGTTTGTACTATTTCTTTGTGTAAATAAAAACTTTTCTTAATATTACAAACCTGTTCTTGCTTCTTCGATTTTCTTGAAGAGCTTTTCGAGGATTTTCGGAAAGGAATTCCTTCTCCCTATCCAAGGTACTGTGTCTCTTTAATTTTCATGTTTTAATGTATATTCTTTCCCTTGTCAGTTTCTCAATATATGTTTTTCCTTATTAGTTTCTCTTCATCTGTACATGTTTTGTTAAAATACTTTATGAGCTATAAGGGGTGTTCGCGGTCTGGATTGGATCGGTTTTGGAAGCAAAAATCATCTGATTCAATCCCTTCGGTTTAATCATATAATCATCCATACCGTTTGGATTTTTTTTTAAATCCGATCCGATCCAATCTAATTTTATTCTGTTTGGATTGGATCAGTTTTCGTTTTTTTGAAAAGTCTAAGATTTATATGATGATTATTGAGCAAATAACATATCTTTTGTATGTATCGGCTTTGTAAAGTTTGTATGATGATCATTGTGCAATCTAGAAGCATTATACAACAAAAAGTTGAATTACCATCTTTTACCTCCAACAAAAAATTTATAATATGGTTTCTTGAGATACGAAGTAACCCAAATTTTCATTCTATATAGGAGTTGTTGTACAACAATAACCCATGTAATAAAAATATATTATGTATCTTACTAAAAAGAAGAAGAAGAAGCATAACATAGATCAAACACAACTCACTTTCTCCAACATGATGGGTTAATGGGTCTTGAATTTAGAATTTTGCTATATGTTTTTTGGGCTATGATATGGGAAAGGCCCAAGTAGGTAGATGGTAAGGGTTAAGAATCATTGAATCAGTTTAGATTGGATCGGTTTTCACCAACCAATCCAAAAATTGATCCAATTCAATTAAATTTTGCGGGTTTTTTTTGTTTTCGATTTTTTGGTTTTCGGTTAATTCGGTTTTAGGTTTTTCGGTTCGGTCACAGCAGTTTGAATCGGTTGATGAACACTCCTATGAGCTAGGTAGTCTTGCCTCGTCTAATATATATCATTGTGCACCAACCCTAGCGGAGCTAGTAAGTGACCATTAGCCTATGAGAAGGAATTAAAGTGGGTTAGGTCCTTGGTAAATGTAGTTAGTATAAGTGAACAGTAACATAATCTTGCGGATAGGATGTAGAGCTTTACCCATAAAAAAAAGTCTGGAATCGGCCAACTTCGACCCATAACCTGTTTTAGGGTTTTGTGATGGAGACTTTTTTGTTTTCTGCTGGATGTCTTTTATTTTTTTGGCTGAGGGAAGCTCATAATGACTTTCATGGAGTTAAAATCCGCAGACGAATAAGTGGATACCAGAGGAATTATTAATATTGGCAGATTCTTTTAAACAACTCACATAATTGATATTGTACTCGGTTGGCAAAAAGGCTATATGTAAGTAATAATACGAGCGTGCGCCCAAGTAGATATTTGAGGTTATTGTAGATCTCTGATGTTTTGATTTCATTCTCTGGAGGATTGGCTAGAGGGTAAGCTCTTGCTCGGAGCAAGTAAATTGATCCACATATGATCCTTTGCATTTCTCAACTATGTTTCTTGTCCTGTCTTTTATTTTAATTGATAGGATATTATACATATCTTTTCTAAATGCCTACTCTACCTATTACTCTTCAAAATTATTGGATCAGAATCTCAAGTAACTTTCTTCCTTCCTTTCTTTTTCTTCTTGAGATTCAGATTTAACGATGTTAGAAATAAGTAGATAAAGTAGGCATAAAAAAAGGTGGCACAATATCTTATCCGGAACAGTGGCCAAAGTGCCACTGTTGGAAAAAAAAACACCAAAATGCCACGTGGCATATTTCGCTACACTGTGTATAATTCGCTACGCGGTGTAACGAAATATGCCACGTCAGAATGCACAGAACCAAAAATGCCACGTGTCAGACAGGGAGAATTTCGCTACACAGTGTAGCGAAATTCTCCCTGTTTAACACGTGGCATTTTTGGTTCTGACGTGGCATATTGGTGTTTTTTTTTGCCAACAGTGGCACTTTGGCCACTATCCCTGTATCTTATCCATTATTTTAAAATGTGCAAGAACTCTTATAATTGAAAAAATTATTTTCAAAATATGATAAACTTTGTTAATTTAAGTAAGTTATATTTTTAAATAATAGCAAACTTGAATTGATCGCATTCTTCTTCTGTCATTCAATTTCTGATTGGGTTATATATGAAATAAAAGTCCGAGTAATTGTAGAATAAAGGTTATTCAGTATATGTTAAGGGGGGAGTGCATAATCAGCAATATCATGTTTATCTGTTCATGGGCAATGCAGTTTGGTATTTTTGGAGCTCCAGATTTCAATGAGCATAACCATTCTCAATCATATATATTTGGTGCAAAACAATTTATTCTTGAAAAGGACAAGAAAAGGACGAAGAGGGAGACCAAATCCAAACACCAAACTCAGCAACGTTAGAAACAAAAAGCACTCACTGACTCACTCACCTACCTAAGTAGTCTTGTTTCGTACAGAATCCAACAAAAAGCTGGTAATAAAGGACTCATAAGAAGGCAATTTTGCATATCCTGGAAAATAATTGACATCAATGACGAGGTACCTCTTGCAATCTTTGGCATCTCTAATGACATCAACATTAAACAAGTTAAGCCCCATTGCCTCCCTCAACGCTCTTGCCAAGTCCGTTACCAAACCCTGAGGGGGCATTTCGGTCTTTTCAATTTCGACATCATTGCTTCTCTCTTGCACGGTCAAGTTCGATATCTGAGAAAATGGCAATGTGCCCTTCAACGTTTTCGCCTTCTCCTCCGATATATCAGGTAACGACCTTCGCTTAACGCACGTGACGTGTTCCCCAGCAACGTAAACTTTGAAAACCACGCCTCCATGGTTAACGAACTCTTGCAAAACTATGGGAGCGTTCAACGTTGCGAGCCCCTCGGAATCGAAGACCAAACGGAGCTCGTGAGAATTCGCGGTTCCGTCAGCGAACAAGGGTTTCGCGATGACGGGGAATCGAAGAGTGGAATCAAGTTCTTCTTCGATCTCGTCGTTGGTTTTGACGACAACTTGGTTTGGAACCCCAACGGTGCCGTTTTGAAGAGGGATTTTCAAGTTTGTAACCGCATCGAGCATTGAAGAACGATTGTGGAGGCGTTCCACTAGGTGTGGGGGATCGATGATGAGTCCATGTGGGTATGTGGCTAAATACTGATCCAAGTTTAGTTTGTTCCAATCTTGAGGGTGCAGTTTGTGGATGATGCAGTGGAATGGGCCTTGTTGGATTAAGGGTTTGGTTGGGTCGATTGGGATGAGGTCAATGCCGCGTTGTTTTGTGTAGTCGATGAGTGAGGTTCCGAGGAAGTTAAGGAGCTTTTTGGGTTGGAGAATGTAGCCTATGCGATACCTTTGAGGTGCTACTTGTTCTAGTTCAGACATGTCTGGTTCAGAAATGGAAGGAAGATGCGATGAAAACAGAGTGTTGGTGAAGGTTTGACCACAGTCTTTGATACGACATAAGGGAGGGATACGATGAATATTATATAGTAGCGGCTTTATTTTATCAAAAAATATTTATCATTTTTAAATGATATAAAAATTATGTTATTTTACGTGGAATAGACATAAAATAATATTTTTTTAAAATTTAAATAAAAAAATCACTCACTTTCTTTTTTATAATTTTTAATTTTTGTATCTATCTCTCTTCTAAAATAATATAGTTTATATCCAAACATCAAACCCTTATTTTATTTATTTTTCCACCGTCTCCATTATGACTATCTTTTTCTCTCACTTAAAATGACACAACTAACTTTACGTCCTTTAAAATAATACATATTTTTTTTTTAAAGCGTCAGAAGTTTTGTTTCCATCCTACAGCCGCCCAGGAATAGAAAATAATTTTTGGCGGTGCAAGTCCACGTGCTCACTTTACCAAATATAATAAAAAATAACATTTTTACTTACCCTTACTTTTATATTTATTTCCACACACAAAAAATTCTCGCCTATGAAAATTATCACATTACATGAATTTAAGATGAATATCATATAAATTTTTATCTGTTTATGGGTTAATACGAAAATTTCTGAAATTTATGTGCTCTCAACGTGGACACAACTTACCTTTTATGCAGATTGTCACAATACAAAAAATACAAATACAATTATAATTATAAATTTATAAGGTTAAAATGATAATTAATAAAAAAATATAGGTAATATTCGTATTTGCATATTCACATCACGAATTTCTATATATCATATTTTATCAGTACAAACACAACTCAATACAAATTTTTGTGTCTGGGTGTCGGGTCAAAGTAAGGATACAATTAACAGTCAGTTTGCATTCCATCACCTTTTTTTTCAAATTTTTTGTTAATTTTTTAATATAAAATTTTATGAAATATAAATATTTAATGTTATTAAGATATACATTCTTTGGAAACATGTTAATATGATACACTGAAATAGTCTAGTGTACTTGTATTTTTTAAGGGCTTTATTAATTTTATACAATAAGAGAGAATTTTTTTCATGTTATAAAGACAATATGTGTGGGATTCACCCACTTAAAAAAAAAAACACAGAAATCGATATATGTGTAGAAGAGAAAAATATTCTCCTACAACATAAGAATATATTTTTTTATTTTTTAAACCTCTTTGAGACTGTGACACTTAAATCAACCCAAATTTTTAGCCTCAAGTCGGGTCGGGTTTAATGGGTTCAAAGGTCTATCTAAACTCATAATCATGACATCCTAAAGAAAAAATGACAGAGGAATCACCGGAACTAATAGAGGAAGGAGTAATTCCTTAGTTTATGCTCACCTAACCCTCCAATGACGATGAGAATGAAAATGGTGGGTGATAGTAGATGATGAACACGGTCAAAGAAGAAAATTGATGATCTCATGTTACAATTTCAAATTAAGAGAATTTTTTGTATTTATTTTTTTCTTCATCAAAAATAATTGAACATCACTTATTTAATGAATGTGAAAAGAAAAATAAACATATAATCAAATTATGTACAATTTTAACATGAAAGGGTCTCCTCCCATTACAGAAAAACCAAAAGAAAATAAGGTCATAAAAACTATAATCATTCCTATATGGTGGGCACCTACTCTACCTATCTCTGTACGGTGGCATGATTCATGAGAATCCAATGAAAAACATGTCTAGAGATTGTTGAGACTCGAGAGAACCTTTTAATTTTGACAACGTCAAAGAGTTAGTGTCACTGCAATTAAGTTAAGAGTTTAATATTTTTTACAAGTAGAAGATAAAAGAGAAGAGAAAAAAATATAACTTTTACGTACTTTTATATATATATATAAAAAATAAATTTTATTTTCTACAATATGAATTAAATTAATTCATATTAGAGATAAGATATTGTTACTATTAATTAGTGTTATTATCAATATCACTACAAGTTTATTTCATCGTTAGATCGATTATATTGATCCAACGGTTATATTTATTTTTACATTTGTATAATTATGATTCCGTATATTTAATGTGAAAACATTAAATATGAGGAATCATAATTATATTGTTTGGTCCTAGGTAGACCGTGAGTATTACCGTATAGGTATGCACTGAGAGGTATCTATAAGAGAGATACCCTATTGCGTAGAACCATTGTTGTAAAACCCGGCCCGACCCGGCTGGGTTGACCCGGAACCCGACGACCCGGTCATTGGACCGGTTTGGGCCAAGCATTGGACCAGTCAAAAACCCGGACAAAACGGCCATACTCGGTCAAAATCGGTGACCGGTGATCCGTTGACTCAGTGACCCGGTCGGGTCATACATTAAAAAAAAAAAAAAATCAAAAAGCCAAAATTGTTTCATCTTATCAGAAAAAAATGTAGAACTCATAGTAAAAAAATTTTGTAATTTTATTTGCTAGTATACTCTTCTACAATGACATCAAATTTCAGTTTCCAATACTGAAGCAATTTGCGGAATAATAAATAAAGAGAATGTGACATGTTATTTGAATGTAGTTGAATTTGAAAAACATGAGTTCAATGTCATTGAGAGGTATCTTTATGGGGATTCTGAGTTGCAATTTAAATTGACATAGTAATAGCGTGCATTTTTATTTATTTATGCTTCATGTTTTTGAGCTTATTTAGTAAACTTTGTTTAATTCATTTTAGATATGAAAAACATAATTGAATTTATATGTTCATATTTGTATTTTTTATATATATCTATATATATCCGCGTCAACCAGTCCAACCAGTGACTCGCCGGTCCGACCAGTGACCCAGTATCCCGACCGGTTCGATGCCCGGGTAGAATTTAATAACACTGCCTAGAACAAATACTTCAATTACCGTGCACAAGCAATAGGCGTGTGTGTTTGGCAACAATAATAAATATGTTCAAAAGTGTATACATGATATTTTTAGCCTGTTATTTACAAGGATTACCTTTATGGACTTGGGTCTTTAAGATCTTTCAGTTGATATAAAATATGCCTTAATTAATGGGATACTGATCTTATCCTTGATTTTCTCTAGATTATATGGTTGTGATATTTCTATTCAATCTTGCTAGTGATAAGGTTGTTAGGGTATGAATCCGGTCCATAACATATATAAAAATAAAAATAAAAATAAAATATAAAATATAAAATATGAAGAATAATAATCATATTAATTCAATTAATATAATCAATTTAATAATGAAATAAATTGATAATAACTCTTGACGATAATAATAATATACTATCTCTTCCTATTATAGTCTGGTAGCAAAACCATCACGTCTCACTAACACCAGTTGGCGAAAAAATTAATCACTTTCAAATATCAATGTTCGCTTTTAATAATCCATTCAACTTTCATCGTCACGAACGCATTTTCAATGCCATAGAACATGGACTGCTTTATTAAATGAGAAAAATTACTCTTATGTCATATGTGATAATTTCTCTCCTACACATCTTTCGATAATTATCACATTTTTCTTTTCTTTTCTTTTCTTTTTTCAGATGATGGAGCGCACAATTTTATCTCTATGACATGAGATAATTTATTTTCTGTAACATGAGATTAATAAAATCTTTATTAAATATAGAAGAAAAGTAGAGTTTAAGTGATATTAATAATAAAAGATGTGTAAAATAGATAATGTTAAATGCGCCATAATTTCTTTCAATTTTGCGCAATAAACGTGCAGAATCTTTATTGGGAAAAGTGTTTATCCTTTTAAATGACAGAACTTACATTCTTTCACTCTCACAAAGAGGTGGGACCCACACCTTTATTTTTTTTATTAACTCTCTCTCCTCCTTTATCTATCTCTTTCTCTCTCTTAAAATGACACAACTTTAGGGCCTGTTTGATGTGATGTATAAGGCCTGATAGTATAAGCTTATACTATACGTTATGACATTTTCAGTTGTTTGGTATGACCATCGTATAGTATAAGCTTATACAGCAGGACCCCTTTATACATCAAAATGATGTATAACTTAATCCGGCCTAGAAGTGGTGGATTAGGCCTGATAAGGGGTTGATGTATTAATATTGCTTACAAGTACAATTTTCAAGAACTAATATATCATTTTAATATTTATATATTAAAATAATTTTTTTAATATATTAATTTTTGAAATATTGGAGGATATTATCTTTATACAATATTATACCAAACGCTGGATAATATTAAAATTTAATCAGGTCTTATACAATCAGGTCTTATACTATCAGGCCTTATACTATCCGGCTTTATCCTATACTATGCACCAAACATGCCCTTACATCCTTTAAAATGACACACACTAGTTTACCCATCTTTATTACTACAGGAGGAGTATAGAAGATATTTTCATTCATCAATGATTCACAGTAATGGTTCGACGGTGAACCATATATTAAGTAACCGTTGGATTTAGAAAATTTTAGGTGGATGACTAGGATTGAGTAAGGGTTACCTCCATAGAAGCCTTAGCAGGTTGTTTAATAAAATTGAGTATTACAATTTACAGTATAATCTCTTAGTGGTATTTTTTTTTTTTAGTATTGCAAAGAGGCAAAGCGCCTAAGGAAAAACTACAGGAAATTACAATCAGCCTCCAAGACAGGTCTCATCCCGTCTGGAGCTGAAGAAAGCATCACAAAATTCTCTACACTAGAGATTGCCCAATTAGCTAGGAGATCTGCACTAATATTGCCATCTCTCTTCACATGAACCAGCTTGACATGCTAGCTTCTATTGCACCATCTCTTTATACAACTGATGAGCTGTTGGTGGCAGCAACTCTCCTTGTTGTTAGTCAAGGCTTGGATAGCCTGTAAGCAGTCACTCTCAATCAAGAGGAAAGAGGCTTTACTATCCCAAGCCACCTGAATACCTTTGTAAATTTCCCAAAGCTCTGCTAAAAGAGGGGAGCACAAGCCAATCTTATACATGAAACCAGAAATCCATCTGCCTTGGTAGTCTCTAATGAGACCCCCACACGCTGCAGTTGCCATATTAACATTAATGGCAGCATCCACATTTAATTTCCACCAGCCTTGGGGTGGATCTTCCCATTTCACAATCGAGTAGCCTGCAGAAGGAGACTGAAGTCGAGCCTGCAAAGAGAAACTAACCCTGATGTCTCTAATATAAGCAGATATAACTTGGGTAGGTTCAGAGGGCCTGGAGAAGGAAGGGTCGTGGATTTCACAATTCTGCCATCTCCACAAAACCAAATAGTGGTGAAGAAAATGTCCTTCCAGGGTAAAATTTGGTTGTTAGGCCACCCTTTTGGATATTCTTCTGCACCCAATTTCCAGCAGTTAAGGAGAAGAAGTCAATCGGGGGTTTTTCGTTGAACCAAGCTAGCCAAATGGGAGCAGCCTTGGAGCAGTCCCTAAGAACATGGATAATATTCTCCATCCGAGAAGCACACAAATGACAGTTAGAGTTTCCTCCCCATTTAGCTGAGAGATCCTTTGTGAGAATCCGCCCATGATACACTAACCAAGAAAATGTGCGGATTCTGTGCGGGCCCCTCCAATTCCATATTGAGTTCCAGGTTATGTCAGGAGTAAGGGAATTAAAGTCCATCAACTTATTTTATGCTAGTTTGACTGCATTTTTCTGCCCAATGATGCTATCCCAAATCAGACCATCAGCCCCACGATCAAGGGAAGGGGGAAGGATGGCCCTAATCGAATTAACAGCTTCCAAAGGCAGGATTCTTTCCAGTCTCTCCAAAGCCCAGTCACCTGTGTCCTGGTCCACCATGTCAGCCACTGTGGACTCGAGGTCAGAAGCCATATGGTTGGGGATTGCTAACTCACAAAGAGGCTTGTCTAGGTTGGTCCACTTATCTACCCAGAAGAGGATATCCTTCCCATTTCCAACATCCCATTTCAAGTTATCTAAAAAACCAATCCAAATTCAGCCCAAACCTTTGCTGGAGTCATAAGGCTGGACTTTGGCTTGTCTTCTAAAATCAAGATTCCTAGCATATTTCCCAGAGAGGACCTGGCCCAAAGCTCATCCTTGTTACTTATCATTCTCCACGCCAGCTTGTGAAGGAAAGCTTCATTATGGACCCTAAGTTTGTGAATTCCCAGGCCTCCAGCATTTTTGGGCTTACACAGCTCCTCCCAGGCTATAAGATGAACTTTCCTGGCCTCAGCTGTATCCCCCCAAATAAAGGCTCTTTGAATTTTCTCAATATCATTGCAGACCGAGATTGGTAGCACACCGTGCTGCATGTGATAAACAGGAATAGAGCTTAAAACTGAATTGGCAAGAGTTACCCTCCCAGCAAAGGAAAGAAGATGACTTTTCCACTTTGAGAGATGATTTCTAACTCTGTCAAGAACTCCAACATAATTCCTCCTCTTTCCCCTACCATGGTAGAGCATAGATCCCAAGTACTTGCCCAGAGAGCTAGCAGCAGAGAATCCACTGGCCTTAGTGATATCCTCCATGATAGAGATATTGGTATTCCTGGAGAAATAAATAGAAGTCTTTTCAATACTGACTAGTTGGCCTGACATATCGCAGAAGTTTTTTAGGCAGCCCATCATCACTTATAGTTGGTCCAAACTTGCTTCACCAAAAAGAATGAGGTCATCTGCAAACATAAGATGTGAAATCTCTGGGCCATTCCTACCAGCTTTCATTGGCTTCCATTTTTTGCTATCCACAACATCTGCAATTAGATGTGAGAGCTTATCCATGCAGAGAACAAAAAGGTAAGGAGATAATGGATCCCCTTGTCGGATTCCTCTAGTGGGGGAGAATTGATCAGAACAACTGCCATTCCACAATACCTGGAATTTAGCTGAATTGATGCAAGCTTCGATAATTTTGACCAGGTTCTGAGGAAGACCAGCTTCTAACAGAATAGAATTGACAAACTTTCAGTTTAAGCGGTCATAAGCTTTGGCCAGGTCTATCTTAATAGACATGAAAGCCTTCCTGCCCGTAAGCCTATTCATGGATTGGGTCATTTCCTGTGCTATAATGACATTATCATGAATCACTCTTCCTGGGACAAAACTTGTCTGGAAGGGGGAGACAAGGGTGTTCATGATGGGCTCCAAACGGTTGATAATAGCTTTGGTAATAGCCTTATAAAAAACATTGCATAAGGCTATGGGACGAAATTGTTCCACTCTCTCCAGCTTGTCCACTTTGGGGATAAGGACCAGCAGAGTCTCATTTATCCTAGAAATCTCCTCAGGATTCTCCAGGTAATATCTGATATCAGAGCAAAATTTCTTAGACAGAAATATCCACTTCTGTTGATAAAAGGCGGCTGGAAACCCATCTGGGCCTGGGGCTTTGTGATGCCCCATTTGGAAAATAGCCTTCCTTATCTCATTATCCGAAAACGGGTTACTCAGGGCCTCTACTACAGGGAGCTCCAAACGGGGCCAATTTACCTGAGTCTCAAGCCAAATTCTGGTCGGTTGGTCTTCAGAAAAAAGATTAAGGTAGAAATTGGTAGCCATATCCTTGAGAGAGAACTCATTTCTAATCCAAATACCCATCTCATTTTTAAGAGCCAGAACCTTTCTCCTGCTTCTTTTAGCAATAGCAGAAAGATGATAATATTTAGTGTTGCGGTCCCCATCCCGAATCCAGGTGGATCTAGATTTCTGGTACCACAGCTGTTCTTCTAAGTCCAGGATCTCTTCGAGCTCTCTTCTTAGCTCAAAATCTAAATTGATCAGAAAGGTATTCGAACCCTTTTCCAGGCTACGTTGAATGCCATTAAGCCTAAGAAATATGGAAGACTTCCTTCTGTGGATAATTCCAAAAGTGTTTATTTTCCAATCCCTCAAAATGGGAACCAACTCATTCAGATTAGCAAAGGTATTTATCTCGTGATTCCAATTTTCCTCCAAGACTTGCTTGAAATTCTGGTGATCAAGCCAGGGGGAAATACCTGAAGGGTCTTTCTTCCCACTCAGTCGAGGCTTTCGAAAGAGAGATAAGGATGGGATTGTGGTCAGATTGGATTCTAGGGATGACTTGCACAACAGCTTCATCAAAATTAAGTCTCCATTTTGTGTTTGCCACAGCTTTGTCCAACCTTTTATAGACGCGATCCAGATGAGAGAACTTTGGTCCTTTCCAAGTGAAATAAGGACCTGTGCTGCCAAGGTCCATAAGTTGGCACTCATCAAGAACCGAAGCAAAATCAGAACATCTAACAAGGCCAGCAGGGGCACCTCCTCTCTTTTCAATTGGCGAGACGATTTCATTAAAGTCTCCTGCTAGAAGCCAGGGTTCCTGATGCGTCGAGTGCAACCTACGGAGCTCATCCTAGAGGATTTTACGCTTCTCAGGTCTCGGGTTGGCATAAAACACCGTAAATAAAAATGGCTGCTTGCCAGGGATAGAAATGCGAACCAGGATGAATTGCTCATGTTTCTCGATGAGCTGAACTGTGAAGGGGGAATGATTCCAAAGAATCCAAATGCCCCCAGAGAAGCCCACAGCTTCCTTAATGATGGTGTTAGTAAACCCCAACTTCTGAATAATTTTGGCTGCTCTAGACCCACTAACTCTCGGTTCCAACAGAACCACCAAGTCACTCTTGTACTTCCTAGACAGGGTTCCCATAATACCTTTGAACCTATTCTTGGCCGCTCCACGACAGTTCCAGGTGAGGACATTCATCAGATACCTGATTGTTTTGAGGTAGATACCTGGGATCCAAAGATCCCATTATCTTTCTTCTCCTTGAGCACTGGCTTCGATCTGGCCAACGATGGACATTTCACAGTGCTGTTGCTTCTAGATCTTTAAAATCCATCTGTCCTCTGACTCCCTGGTTCTCTATTTTCCTTTTCTTCCAGGTTCAGAGAGACCGAAGTGGAGACTTCTCTTCCTCTAGGTTGCATGCAGGCAAGAACTTCATTCAGAGCTGCCTCATCTTGGGATCTCATCATTTGGCTCATGAATCGAAGAATTTCCTGGTCTTTTTACTTCTAACCGTCCCTAATTTGCATTTCCTCTGTAGGTTCCTGTCGCAAGGATGGGACGGTCACCATTAGGGTTTTTCCATTACCGCTTCCTTCTTTTGGTTTGGGTTTAGAGTGGGCTGGAACCCTCCTTTGGGCCTTTGACTTGCTTTGGTCTTTATTGTGACCCAAACTTCCCCCTAGGCCCAGATAACTATTGTTTTTAACCCCAATTTCTTTAGGCTGGTCAGATTTACCTCTGCCAGCGTGCCCATTTGAGATTTTAGATGCTTCTGCGATGGGACCCTTCCCAGGTCCACCTCTTTGTCTGCTCGCGGCAGTCACCTCATTTGTTCGGCTCGAGACCTGCTCCTCTGTTCTTAGTGAACCTGCTCGTTCTTGTTGATTGAGGTTTGTCAACACCTCAAACCTAGTCTTTGAAACGATCTCACTAGCCCCTGTAGACTTATATGGCCTTTGAACATGGCCAGCAGAATGGAACTCCGGCTGCTTTTTGACCTTTTTCGTTGCCTGAGCTTGGACATAAGCCTTAATGTTGCGTTTCCTGGGATGCTTCTGCACTATCATCCATGAGCCAAATGCCTCATCTGAGTCTTCCCCTTTCTTCTTGCTTCCTATTGGTCCCTTGTCCTCAACATGATTCCCAGATTGGGTCACGTTACGAGAACTCTCTTCACTCACTGTTCCACTGCAAGTATCTTGTTTATGACCATATCTCCCACACCCAAAACATATTAGGTGCAATACTTCGTAAGCCACATTGTAGGTCATCTCTCCTATTTGAAATTGGGGAATAAAACTCTTCCTCAGGTCCACTTCAATGCATATTCTGGCATATTTTGCCTTTTCTGTGTATTCACCCACTCCACCATCTGACTTCCTGAGGGAATTCTTATCGACCTTGAGAATCTTCCCAAGTAGGTTGCCAATAATCCTTAGGTGTAGAGGAGTGCAGAATTCCATTGGGAGACCCGGAATACGCACTCAAACGGCTAATCTTTTGACTTGATCATTATAAGGATCAAAAAATGGTCTCCATCTCTGAACCACCACGTAATGTTCCACCACTATCCAAGGACCCTCATGTAGCACATGCAAGTAATCCTTTCCGTCATGGAAATTCACAAGAATATAGCCATTATCAAGGTCGATGACTTCTATTCCTCCATGCAGATTCCATAGCTTCAAAAGCCTGGTCATAAGGAAACAGTTACTAATCTTCCTCCCCATTAGTTTAACTATTATATCTGATCTCCACCTCTTGCAATCTTCTTTATGCTATTTTTTGGAGAAGTGATAGACTGGGCAGAGAGGGTTGTCCTGATGAACAGGGGCTCCTCTTCTGTAACCTCCTCATCTTCCTCCTCCTTTCTCTGGATAGTCATCCAGTCCTCCTCGTCACTTTGGAATCCATTGTCCTCTTCGTTCAGTTGGAGGGCCATATCTTTGTAAGAGACTACCTTCCTCCCTTCCGCTTTAGGAGTATGAGAGTCCTTCGTTGTATCCGCCGCTAGCCTACTGTTCGCTTTATCCAGATTCCCCTCTTCCATAGATTCATCTTCATTCTCACCTTCCTTAGCTTTCTTAACACTTCTCTCCAAAAGGTCCTCCTCCTCTCTTCCAGACTCTTCTCTGCTAGACTCTATTTTTACCTCACGAGAGCTTTGATAGCCCAAAACATTCAAAATCATAAATAAATGTGTTTGGACTTTTTAGCTAATGTATCTCTTAGTGGTATTTGATAAAGGAGAAATTTTTTTTATCAGATAAATATAATTATTAGAAATATAATGGAAAAATAAATTTGGTAAAGGTGTTAAAAAAAAGTTGTTTGATAAGCCGAAATATTATCCAAAAAATTGGGTTAAATTTTTCGAGTCTATGTTTAGTTGAAGGTAAAATATTGATAGAAAAATAGGTTAAAAATACGAAAATAACCCTGTCTGTACCTTAGTTTCCCAATTCACGCCCAAATATGCAAATTAGGTTCTCCTAGCCATTTCAAAGGTCGGTTTTGTTTTTCTTTGAAATTCAATTCTGGGTTTTCTTTCAATCTGATGTCTAATCTAATTGCATAAATAATCCCTTTATGTTGATTTAATTTTTCATGGGTTTATTTTTCTTGCATGTAAATTGATGGAAAGTTGGCAACTACAGACATGGGTAATAGCTTCAGACATGGTTCTTCTTTTTTCTTTTTCTTTTTCTTACTATCATGATTAGTTGAACAGAGTGGGTAATAATTTCAGACATGGTTCTTCTTGGAGAACTACACTTCACAAACAAAGGTACCCTATCCTTTTTTTCTTCTTCTTTTTTTACTATCTTTGTTTTGAAGGTTTACAAAGTGGGTGTGCGAAGTTTTTGGCTGCATTTTATAGAATGTGTATTATTACATTCCTTTTGAAGGTTTACAGAGTATGTTGTGCTGGTTACCCAACAACAGGTATGATATTAATTTTCAACATCATGATTCTTTCCTTATTCTATTATATGTGCTTGGTTCTGTTTGTGCATTGTTTACAGTTTCTATCTGTGATTTGATAAACTGCAACTAACATATTCTTGATTGTTGAAATCAATTAATCTTGAAGGTAGAGAAGCTATCAAGGAGAAGTGAAGTGTCCAATGTTATTTTGGATTTTTCTGTAAGAACTACAACCACCTATACTACATAATTTTTGGGTCTGCCATAGGGAGCTTGGTTTCAAACAGGAGGATTTGAAATCGCTGGAGAAGGAATCACTATTGGCTTTTCGTCTCAGATTACATGAGTATGAGGGGCATTTTCGTCTCACTAATCGCGCCAAATATTTCACTTTGCTAGTCATCTGAAAATATCACCTTTGAGGTGGTATTTCCAAACAGTAATTTTAAACTCAATTAACACACATTTCACAATTCATGGGGAAATCATTTGACTGATATTATTTCTTTAAAACTTGTACCAAACATGGTATAATTCAATACCCAGCAATCCTAAAAGAATCCACCTACCAAACACCCTGTTCCGGATGGCCCAACCATTGGCGACCCAATGGTTCAGGCCCAGCTTCAGCCTTCTGCTCACGTCAGCCCTAGGAACTATCAAGGATCCCTCCCCAACCCCCAACACAACGAATCTCCCTAGGAGAAGCACCAAAATGTCCTGTCTTGGGACCCCAACCCCCAAGGGAGACCGCCACAGTCACCACAAAGGGAAACTTCCCCTTTGTCTCACGCTGACACCGCCAGACGCAGAGGGCACAACGCTGCTATCATAGCAGCGCCTGCCACGCCCAACACTGCCACCCGTAGTGAATCCTAAGGAGGGTTGACCCCCTCCTCACCAACTCACACCAGGTGCGCACCACCTTCCCCTATAAAGAGCCCTTGGGCGCACCATGAAAGGACCTTATCTCATGTATCGTTATTATACCCATTTATATTAAGTCACATATACTCGTACTGAATCATCCATTGTTATCTTCTTGCCATAATACTTGGTACAGTGCTCTCTAGCTTGGTCTTTACCTCTGCTAGTGGCACCATCCATACAGCCATATCATCCCCAAAGGGAACATAGTGGACTTATAGATTCCAACGGTACACACCCCCTTACATAGAGGAAATTGTTTCATAAGATTTTGCTGTTTAGTCCCTTCAAATAATTATCTTTTGTAAAGCAATGCTGTTGAAGAAGTCCCTAACGTTGAGAGGCGCTGAAGAAGGCCGCGTGATGTCGAAGAAGTCTTTTATTATGGTTGTGGATGAAGAGATTGCTTGATATATATATATATATATATATATATATATAACTATTTTAAGGGTGATTGACTCTTTTGTCCCTGATGAAATTAAAAACTACAATTTTGCCCCATCACAAAATTATACATCAATTGGTCTATGTTTAACCGTTGACTGAATAATTTAATTGATTACATGAGCTATGTACTTGATTATTTTGTGTGTGGATGAAATAATCGATTATAAGGCTCATGAAATCAATTATTTCATGACCAGAAAGAAAAAAATAGGTCTCTGTTCACTAATTTAATCGATTACCAGTGTAGGTTTAGGGTTTATGTAATCGATTACCAGTGTAGGTTTAGGGTTTATGTAATCGATTACACCTACACTTATGTAATCAGATTGAAATTTCCTTTTCTGCTCTCTTCTTTTCCCATTCCTTCATTCCTCTTCCGCACCCATGCTGGTATCAGAGCCTGATGAGAAAGTAGGAATATATGGCTAGATCTAAATTATCTATTATTTATCTGAGCTTTATGTTAACATTTTAGTATGTGTTAGAAATATGTATGATTGTATGATGAGAAATGAAGTTCTTGTGAACTTATACAACTTAGCAATAAGTCCAATGAGTGGCAGTAAGTCTAATTTATTGATGGTGTATGAGGGATCAAGAAGATCTCTGACAATCTGTTGTTTAATTATGTTGAAGTTTTAAGATAATGCTCAGTTGATAAAAAACAATTTAGATCTATCTTTATATTTTTATGGAACTAAATGATGGTGAAGATATATTAGGGAATACATTTGATATTTGCTGCTATGTTTAAATCCCTCTCTTCTAAGCTATCTTTAAATCATCTCAACCATCTTCTTCTTCAATCCAAGAGCATCAACTAAAGAGCTCTTCAAAAAAACATCTTCAAGGAGGAAATCTACTTTGAGAACATCAATCAAGACTTGGATAACTGGGAAATGCCCATGATCCGACAAATTAACTATATAATCTCGAAGGAAAATTCTTTCGAAAATCTGATTACATACTCAGAATGGTAGAAAGAAATATCCTTCTAGATCTTGAATTCAAAGAATTCAAACTCTTCCATACAAACTCACAAACAAAATTATAATTATTTACATATCAGATGTGTCCAAGTGGCCATCAAATCCCTGATTGGAGAAGTATTAAATACGCGTGTTCTCCTTTGTCTCAGAGACACACGACATAATAATTTTTTTGATTTTTTGCTAGGAACTATTGAAACTAGTCGAGTTATTGACCAATCTTCTTCAATTGCTATACTGATTGAATGGTCAATCTTCAAAATTGGAATATCTTGGATGTCTTAGTCTTAAACATTGAGATGCATGGTCTGGATATGAAAATCGGATCTGTTCTTGCTACTCTAGTCTACATAAAAGATTTGCATTTACTTGGCCATGACTCATATCAAGATCCTCAAGTGATGGTACAGACAAACTTGCCTGGGACTTTGCACTAAATTCTGCAAGGAGATGATTAGCGCAGAAACACCTATCTCATTCTTAAAAAGGAGATCTACACTTCCTGCCATGTAAGAAAAAAATTCCTGAAGAAGCCAATTAAGGTAGTCAAAATTAAGATTGTAGTTAAGATCGAATAAGGGTAGTAAGATTATAAATCGTGGGATCGACACGGATCATAAAGATCTTACATTTCTAATTTTAATTAGAAAAATAATATTTATACATATAAATTACATGATATAAGATTAACTTATAAAAGAAAATAGATAAAATTTTTGATTGTTCTCACAAAACGTAAAAGAAGGATAACATCTTAAAGAAGAAAAGGCAATAACTTAAAATCCAAAAAAATTGGGTTAGAGATCCATCTCAAAAAGGTCGGTAGCCTCTATGTAGCACCGATACCGACACGGGACACGTGACACGATACGACACGACACTCTGACACGTTAATTCTAAAAAGTTAGATTTCGACACGTTAGGACACGTTTTGATATTAAATAATATTTTTAATTTATGTAGTGTATATTATATTTAATATTCACTAATTTTTAAAAAAATGAAACTAAACTTATAATATTCATAAATTTTGTAAAGAAACATAAGATATCCTAAATATTTATATTAAATTAAATAAAATGGTAATCGTAATTCAACAAATCTAATAGTTGAAACTAAAAACTCAACGCAACACAACCTTTGAACCTTTTTTTGAATTTTTATAATGCATGTTAGAGTGTCTGGGAGTGTCGAAGTATCGGGGAGTGTCGGGAAGTGTCAGACACGACACGTCAGAATTTTTGAAGTGTCGGTGCTTCATAGGGTAGCCTTAACCAATGTGTTAACAAGAATGCCCGAAAGTTGTTCCCATCCCTGTCAGGGGAGATGCCAACCATATCTCCTTTCTAAAAAAATGTTCAAAAGAAGCAAAGTGTGATAGAGGAAGCCACGACGACAATGGCGATGATGGCAGGCCGTAGCTCTCTCCAAGGGGAAGCAGCGGAGGTATCAATGGAGGAAGAGGACAATTGAAGAAGAAGCACTAAACGTACTAAAGCAGAAGATATTTTCACAAACAATTCATCCAACCAACCAAGGGTGGACGATTGAATGGTGCACAAGTCACAAAAAGATGAGAGAACTTTTCGATTTATCCTACTACAACATAACAGAGAAGACTTGAGGAAGAGGAACTTGAATGGGAAGTGCACATGGAGAATATCCAGAGCTTGGAAGACAACAAAGGGGATGAATGAGGTTTTAAAGAAGTCATAGACGGTGATGGTATCTCCAACTTTTTATGTACCAAGGTGGCAAAATCCCGTGGACTCAAGCACTGGTCGTTAATCCCTTTGGGCTCAATCAGATTCTGATTGTATAAGACATGATTAAATTTTAACACTATTCAATATTTGATATGGTATTGTATAAGATAATATTTTCCAATTTTTAAAAATTAATATATTAAAAAAATTATTTTAATATATTAATATTAAAATGTTATATTAATTTTTTAGAATTGTACTTGTAAGCAAAATTAATACATCAACCTCTTATCATGCCTAATTCTACTCCCTTAGCCCTGATTAAGTTATACATCATTTTGATATATTAAGGGGTTCTGCTGTATAAGCTTATACTATACGATGGTCACACCAAACAACTAAAAATGTCATAATGTATAGTATAAGCTTATACTATCAAGCTTTATACATCGCACCAAACAGACCCTTAGGGTTTTAGGGTTTTTATGATAAACTAGCCACGTAAACTCCATATTTGTTGTCTTGTTTGCGTGATATTTAAGCTAAATATTACATATTCATGATTAAGGACATGTTTGGAGTATAATATAGAATAAAGTTTGATAATATAAGACCTGATTAAATTTTAATATTATCTAGCATTTGGTATGATATTGTATAAGATAATATTCTCCAGTGTTTGGTAATGCACTTTATAATACTAAACAGGATAAAAATAAAAATTTAAAAAAAAATGCCCTTGAATAAAGAATTTATATTATTCTTCCAAATATGTCATATGATATTAATTTTTATAAAAATATATTGATGAGTATGTTCAAAAAATATATTATTTTTTGAAAAAATAAATTTTTTGAATATTTTAAAAAATAATATATTAAAAAACTAATTTTTATTTTAATATATTAATATTGAAATGATATATTAATTCTTGAGAATTGTACTTGTAAGCAATATCAATACATCAACCCCTTATCAGGCCTAATCCCACCCCTTAGGCTTGATTAAGTTATACATCATTTTTATATATTAAGAAGTTTTGCTGTATAAGCTTATACTATACGATGGTTACACCAAACAACTGAAAATGTCATAACGTATAGTATAAGCTTATACTATCGGGCCTTATACATCACACCAAACAGGCCCTAAGTGCTTTAAGATGACTAAGTATGGAAGATATATGAATACACTTGATTTTTATGTAAGAATGAATGACTAGTTAGTGTTTTTACTTTATAGGAAATGTTGATGCCCGAGTCTGTAGCAGAAAAACTGATGAGAAAATTAATGATATAACAATTGGGACAGCAGAACAGAGGGAACATTTCAAATTCAAAATTGAAAAGCTAGTTAAGTTCCCACCAAAGAATAACTCACCAACAAGCAAGTGATAAGGATGTTAAGTTCCCACCAAAGGATAACTCACAAGGACATTTTGATAGTCTTTATGCTTCGACTTAAAATTATGATAACTTTTTAATTTAATATATATAATAGTCCTGAACTTTTTTAAAAAAAAATATTGGAAACTTCTATTTCTGAAAGAATTAATAATTTTTTTGGACATACTAATAGATAGATTTTTATAAAAAAATATCGTATGACTTATTTGAAAGAATTATATAAATTCTTTATGAAAGGGTATTTTTATAAAAAATATTTATTTTTATCTATATCTAGTATTATATAATGCATTATCAAATATTGGACAGTATTATTTTATATAATACCATACCAAATGTCGGATATTTTAAAATTTAATTAGGTCTTATACAATTAGGCCTTATACTATCAGGTCCTATACTATCAGGTCTTATCCTATCATGTACACCAAATATGCCGTAGCACATATGATCTTTTACATAAAGTAGGAGTGTGTAAAAAAAATAAATCAAATGAACTAAACCATTTTATTCAAATTTTCTCAAGAATCGAATATTTTACAAAACGGTTCGTTCAAGAACCGAACTACTTTACCAATTAGTTTTAGTTTGAGCTCAAAACTGAACCAAACCAAACCATATATATTTTTTGGAATATAAAAAAAAAAAAATGAACCAAATTGAACAACTAACCAAATCAATTCGCATCACATTTTTCCAAACTAGTTTAAAAACTGAATCATTTTCTTCAAACCGATTCAATTCACTTGAACCGAACCACTTTACTAATACAGCCATAATGGCAAATAATTTAGATATCACAAAAATTTAATGGCAAATAAAACATTACTTAACAGTTAAAAAAAAAAAATTGACCTGCCAACTCTTATGTAAGGCGAATTAAAACAAGTTGGCAGTTAAGAATCTCAACCCAACCCAATCCAATCCATCATTTTTGCCGTGTTAAACGAGCCAACCTACAGATTAGACCCATTTTGCCGTTATGAAGGTTCTTGATACGCTCATTCTCACCCGTTTCTTCCCCTAGTAAGCACCAACACTCGAACACGATGCTCCCAATCCCCATTGGTCCTAACCCTTCAAGTCAAAGATACATATTCCAAAAAAAGAAAAAGAAAAAAGAAAAAAGATACATATTCCATGTTGCGGAGGCATTCATATTTCAAGGTTAAAGAGATGTACCAAGTTGAATGACAAACATATGGTTCCAAAATGAATGTGTAAATATGATGCTGTTCGCTTCAGTAAAGATGAAGCTATGGACTTCCAAATGTTCCAACATGTAAATATTCTGCTTTATTGTATTTTGTACATAGTTTAATAAAGACGTGATTTTACTCTTACAAACCATGCAGATTGCAGATAACAAATTACAGCCAGCACACCAGTATTTGCTTCATACATTATGACAATACAATCTAGCTGACTAGTTCCAACCAAGAAACAGTCTGGCTTCAAGATGTTCTAATGATAACAATTGACTCGTTAACACCATCAGAAAACCACACTAAAGGTTGTTTTCATCATCATTCTAGAAATTAAAGAAATCAGGCAGTGGCAGTTTTCTGTCCAGTTGTTGACTCTCCGCTAGCAGTTGCAGAGGCACGCTTAGCTTCATAATCTTTAACAGCTGCCTTTATAGCATCCTCAGCAAGCATGCTGCAGTGAAGCTTGACTGGTGGAAGTGAAAGATGCTTTGCAATTTCACTGCAGGACATTAATTGTGTGTCACTTCAAAAACTAATAACAGAACAAAGCTATTAATCATGGAGGCATAACCAAAGCTAGATTCATCTGGCAGAACTAAGGTCCAGGAGATGGTGCATGATCTAGAAACCAAAACTCCAAAAGGTCCAAAACAAAACAGCAAAAGATGCAACTATTACTAAGCTTCAAGAAACCATTACATTCATCAACTCATCATCATCTAAAACGGATATGAAAACAAGAAGATATATACGAAACTGAAAGAACAACAGCACGTCTTCCAACATTAACCATTAAACCAACCAAAAAATGTTAATTTTGTATTTAACCTGGTCAGGTGCCTTCTACATCTAACCACTTAAACAGACAAAAAAACTCATCTTCTAAAAAAATCATCCATCACTCAACAATTTCAGGTACTAAAACTCAAGGTGAATAATTATACAGACAACATTTTCTAACATTAATCATTAAACCAACCAAAAAATGTTAATTTTGTATTTAACCAGTCTAGGTGCCTTCTACATCTAACCACTTAAACAGGAAAAAACTCATCTTCTAAAGAAATAACCAATCACTTCCACAATTTCAGGCACTAAAACTGAAGGTGAAGAATTATAGGGACAAGGGCCTAAACCAAAATAAAACTTGCTGTGAGATATATTTCCCAAAGCAATATACTGCATGTCATTCAGATTATATGAGTGCCTGCGTTTTTAATATGTCTCATTGTCGCTTGGTCTAATTATAAGTGAAACAGCGAGTTTTTTCCAATTCCTTTTATTAGGTGCTTAGTGTTGTGCCATATTACATCTCTCATTTTTCCCCTCATGTGTTTTTGATACAACACCGGTCCTAATTGTAGGACGCGTTATAGCATATTCGCATCTCTCTATGCTGACTTAGCAAATTGGTTAGTTAGTAGAGAATATTCTAGAAGTGGATATGGATAACAAATAGAGAGGAATGTGAAGTGTGAGGGCATCTCGAATCTTGGACTTGGATTGGAATTGGGAGAGAATGAGGTCTCTCTAATTGTCTCACTTATCCTTTATTGTTAGTGCTTTTTCCAGTTCATTGTAATTTCCCTTTTAGTCTCTGTTTCACTGCCATTTGGGTGTATTGTCTCTTGTTTCTATGAATATATAAAATCTGACTATTCAGGCCAAATATTTCTCTGCAATTTGTTGTTAATTCTGTATTTGACTTGGAGGTTCCTATTAGTTTTTTTTCTCTCTGTTCACTATTCTGAAAATCCCCAAATTTTTGCTCTAATAGGTTTCATCTCAAGAAACCCATTTTTGTCTAATTCATGTTTTGCTACCTTTTTTTTTTTATTCCTGTTCACGGCGCTTGTTCCTTGGTGTGAAGCTTGTGTTTGTGAATTGTGACCCTTTAGAGGAGGCTGTTGATTGCTCTTAGTAATGGTTCGAAGAAGGTTCTACGAGCGCCTCTTGGTTGGTTTTTCGGACGAGCACTGAAGGCTTGCAGTTCTGGTAGTTTGTTGCTGGTTCTTGGTTCCATAACAGGTTTTATTCAACCTGTTGCGGTTTCTGTTCTGTATAATTAGAGGAATAGGTTTTCGTACGGGTTACAGTTTGCATGTTTGGGCTTTTGGGTTTATGGTTAAATTGTCTGCTTGTGTGTACAATTGGTACTCTGTTTTTCTTAATTAGTGCAAAGCTAAGGGAGTTTACCCCTATTCCCTTCGAGGAACAAATCTTAATAGCAATATCAAGTTTAGAACCAAGTAAACTTGTGTGTCTGTTTCTCTTTATGTTTCTGTTACCGTTTAAATTTGTGTATTCTGCTGCGATAACTCTACACTTGCAATAACTCAGAATTCTCCATGCTTGCAGCTAGCATAATATTTTGTTTCTTCAGTGAAGACCCAATATTCTCAGACGCATAACTACTGTGCACCAAACTAAATGTACGACGAAGAAGATAATTAAGACAAATGATCACATAAATCACACAACACACACAAACCATGGCCAGAACATTAACACACTTGAACCAAATGTTATCAACAGTTCAAAGGCAGATACTTACGTGTTTTTGATGGATAAAACTTCCTCCATTTGCTTTCCCTTTACCCATTCAGTAGCTACAAAGAGAGAAACTATAAATTAGAAAAATCATCAGTGAGGGGAGGAATTACAAAACAGTAAGCATTTTCTTTTTTTCCTGCAACGATAAAAAAATCATTTAACACCATTTAGGTCACTGATTCCCCTATGTATTTCATCCAACCACTCAAACATGAAAAAACCTCAAGTTTATTCAGCCAGACTACATACCCATATGCCTCATCAATTGAACTATGCAAAAAAATAAAAAATAAAAATCCAACATGTTCCGGATGAACATCAGTATGGTTATGGTTTTTATCTGCCTCTTCCTTAATTACTATCTTCGGTATATATAGCCCTTCCATAAGTAGTTATTCTGGACGTGGGTAATTATGGATACCATCATGTAATCGTGGTGGGACCTACTTGGGGTTCTAGTATTTTGGCTGGCCGGCTTCCTTTCCAGGTAAAACCCCCTCCGAGATCTTCCAGCTCTTTTCCTTGACTATTGATATCCGGATGTATAAACCCGGAACATTAAGCCCCCAAGCTCGGAGTGTAATGTCTATTTTACTCCGAGTTTACCAGTTAATTTACCTCTTATAATTTCCCTTTATTATACGTCAGCATCCTCATTAAATGCTTCCTATTTATTCAGATCTTGATTGCCATTTGTCACTTTCTTACTGCCTTGATTTTCCAAACGGCTGCCCCTCTGAAACGTCATATCCTGACAGCCATCATTGCCTTTCGAAATTCGAAACGTCAGTTACTTTATCTCTTTCCTTTATTACCACCTTCTTTTGATTTTCTCATTTACTCCTTTTTACCCTTTCTTCTTCTTTTCTCCAGCATTTTCTTCTTCGTTCTCCTCTGCTTAAGTTTTCTGGTTCTTTCTTCTTTCTGCGTTTTCTTGAGATTCTTTGTGCGAACTTGGTGTGACACTGCTACATTTGGTTGTTGTTCCTCATCAGACTATACAAGTTCCTTTATCTTAACACTTGCTTTCGTTTCTTCTTTCTTGCCTAATTTTAACCTTCACTTTAAAAACTGTTACTTGCATCTTTAAACATGATCCTGGCAAACTCACTTGTTCTCCTGACAAAGACCTTCCTTGTATTTGTTCCTTCATCTTCTTTAATACTCCTTTACCGGCTTTATACGTTATGGACGGATTAGGAATCCACTAATAACCACTAATAACCACCATTTTCTTCAGTTGAACTTTTAACTTGTAATATGTCTTCTAAACTAGTTTTTACTGGTACCTTTCCGTCCAGGCCATGCCGCCGAGGAATCTCCCCTACCGTTCGCTTCCACTTTCTTGCTTCGCCATACCTTCTACTGTGGAAGGTTTAGAATGGGTTGATGAAGAAGCTCTAGGACTTCGTTCTTCGTATGAAAACCATCAGAGTAATCTTCACACAGCCTTACAATCAATCCCTCTATTTCGTGACTCCATTATCACTTCTTTCCGAGTTGTTGTACCCGGAGAAGAAGAACGTGTCTGTTCACCTTCTGGGCAAGGTGAGAATTCTTTCTTTTTTGCCTATAAATGCTTATTTTCCGAGCTTAAAGTAACCCTACCTTTCACTGAGTTTCAAACGGATGTCCTAAATCATCTTGAAGTCGCTCCCTCTTAACTTCACCCAAACAGCTGGTGTTTCTTACATACCTTTGAGATAATTTGTAAATCTTTTGGATTCAGTTACTCTTTTCGGGTCTTTTTCTGTCTATTCGCCGTGTTCCGAAACGCTATTGATAAAGGAAGTACTCGCCATAGTTGGGTTTCTTTAAAAGCCTGTCCCGGGTTTCGCTGGTGTACTATATATGAAGACAACTGGAAAAACTTCAAAGAAGATTACTTCAAAATTTGTATACCTGAGGCTCCTCCGGCTACACCGTCTGCCTCTTCTTCTTTTTCTCAATCTGCCTCTCCCTCTGCCTTCTTTCTGGATCAGGACGGAGCTCCTCGATTCCCTCTCAGTTGGAACCAATATCATTATACTACGTCTGCGAAAGCATTTTTAACTAACTCAAAGAATTTGAGTACTGATGAATTTGAAACTTTCACATGGTTCAAAAAACTGACTTCCGAGTTAGCCAAGCAAAACATTTCTATCATTCCTCGGTCTATTCTAGGGTATAAAGATTCTCCTGAGTGGATTTGCAGGAAATTAAGTAAGTAACTTATCCATTTTCTTTATATCATCATATATACTCGCCCTTTAAATAAGATCATGGACCCTACCTTCTTTGCTCGCCAGAAACAAAAAGCTATTCAGCAAGATGATTCTGCTGCCTCTGGTGATAAAGTTGTGCGTACTGATCCTTCCTCGGCTTCTGTCGAAAAAAGAAGGCTCTCTTACTCCTTCTTCTCTCCCGGCTACCTCCGCAACGGGTTCTATCCCCAGTGACACTGTGGTACTAGATACAGATGCCCCTGTTGATTCAAGTGACACCCGCCACAAAAAACGAGTTCGGATTAACGAACCCAACCCGGATCCCCCTTCAAGTGACAAGTCGCTGACGCCTCCGTCTTCAGTGATTGTAACCCCTTTTTCAGGTCCTCCCTTTATCAAGAAATTACAACCTTGTTTTTCCGCTGGGCTCCGTGAAAAATGGGATAAGTTTTCTGTTGATCAATTAATTGGCAAATTTACTGAAATCCGAGATAACTCCTTCCGTGAAACCCACTATTACGAGACGGCACTGTTAGCACTAGCTGAACGTCAACAACTACTTACTGAACTGAAAGAGTTGCAACTCCTTAAAAACAATTTCAAATCTGAACAAGCTCGCTTGACTCAAAGGGCCGAAGCTGCCGAGTTTGTTGCCCAAGGTTTTCAAGTGAAACTTAAAGAAACTGAAAAGCTGGTCCAAAAAGCCAATAATGAGTTTACTACTCTTAAACGGGAAAACGATGAGCTGACTGAAGAGGATAAAATGTTGAAGAAGAATTTCGAAGATTCAGACTTCCGAGTAGCTGAACTGGAACTAAAAGTGGAAACCTTGAAGAAAAACGTGACTTCTTTACAGCAAGCTGCCGAGGACATGGATTCTAAATATGTTGCTTTTGCTCATCAAATTCGTGGTTGGATTGCGGTTCAAGTGAAGTTCTTTCACCCGGAAACTGCTCTTCCTAACTTGGAGAAAATTGATACTTTCAACTTTGTGGATAATGGCCGACTATGCACCCACAATGAAAAAGGATCCATTACCGTGCTTGCCACCTGCCCATCCGAGTACGTGGGAACTACTTCGACTTCCGGCAAGACTACCTCGGAGGGCACCCCAAAAGATGCTTGAAGAAGCAGGATGCCACTTTTATTTTGTACCTATTTTAACTTGTTCTTGAATGACTATCTGTTTTGTAATGACTGTGTATGTTGGATCCTTGATTTCTTGCGGTTTTAATACTTCTCCCATTACTTCATTTACTTCTATATTTTACTTTGATCTGATTTATTCTGGTAACTTGCTGTTGTATAAATTATAACGCAACTCGCTAAAATTTGTTTTTGCCATATTCCATAACACTTATCTTTTTAAAACTCCGAAAATCCATTAACGTTTTTATAAACATGCGATATCCAAAATCAACCTCGCTTCCGAGTAAGAATCAAACGGGTGCCCAAGAGGCCATTGAAGGCGGCCCAAGAGGCCATTGAAGGCGGCAAGGGACTTTTGACCCTGCTTCCGAGTAGGAATTAAACAGGTGCCCAAGAGGCCATTGAAGGCGGCAAGGGACTTTTGACCCTGCTTCCGAGTAGGAATTGAACAGGTGCTCAAGAGGCCATTAAAGGCAGCAAGGGACTTTTGCTCCATCTAGAATATACATCTCTGAAAAGCTTGCTTTATTGAATTCAAAAGTTAACATACGAAACATTCGTCAGCTACCGAACATAATATGATAGAAAACTACTATACGAAACTTAAATCAAAATTTTCCTAACAACAGTAAAGCTTAATCTTCCTAACACAAAATATTACCCAATAACTACACATGCTCGCTTGTCTCCTATTCCTACCAATTTCTGAACTCTTCAACTGAAATACCTTTTGAGCTTGCCCGCGTTCCAATATTGTGGGATAGATTTCCCATCCAAATGCTCTATTTGATAAGCTCCTGTATTAGTGGCACGTTACTCGGTACGGACCTTCCCAATTAGCTGCTAATTTCCCATCTTGCATTCTTATTTCCCACATCTGCCCCCCTGAGCACCAAATCTCCTACCTGGAAGGTTCGCTTGACCATTGTTCTATTGTATCTTGTCGCTGCTCGCTGCTTGGATGCCATTTCGACAATTGTTGTTTTGTCTCTTTCTTCCCCCAACAACTACATATCAATCTTCATCAACTCGCTATTCTCTTCTTCTTTATCTTCTAGAACCAATTTCTTTCTCCATGATCGTTCTCCAACCTCTACAGGTAGCATTGCATCAAACCCGTAAGTCATTTTGAACGGTGTTTCTTGAATACTAGACTGCACAGAAGTTCTATATCCCCATAACACACTGTCTAGCTCTTCCACCCAACTTCCTTTGCATGCCTCTACTCTTCTTTTCAACCCGTTTGTCAAGATTTTGTTTGCCGACTCCACTTGCCCATTCATTTGTGGGTGTTCAACTGCTGCAAACTGGTGCTTTATTCCCAAGTCGGCTACTACCTGCCGAAATTTTCTATCTATGAACTGTGTCCCATTAACCGTTATGATTATAGCCAGAATACCAAACCTGCAGACTATTTTCCCAATGAAAAACTTCTGGATTTTCCGAGCAGTAATAGTGGCTACGGGTTCTGCCTCTATCCACTTGGTGAAGTAATCAGCTGCCACTATCAAGTATTTTACTCCTCCGGCTGCTCTGGGAAACGGACCCAAAAGGTCCATTCCCCATTTAAAAAATGGCCATGGAGATGAAATCGTGAACAACTCTTCTGGAGAAGCTTGATATATATTAGAAAACTTCTGACACTGTTCACATCTGCGTATATGCTTTTTAGCATCTTCTCCCATTGTTGGCCAAAAATATCCTGCTCGTATAGCTTTCCTTGCTAACGACTTCCCTCCTAGATGATGTCCATTAATCCTTTCATGTATCTCTTCTAATACATATTCCGTGTTCGATGGAGCTATGCATTTCAGCAAAGGGGAATTTATTCCTCTTCTATACAACTGTCCTTCT